TCCTGTAATAGGATTCCACCAACGGCAACATCAGATGCATCGACGGAAATTTTTCGACGGAGTTTAGGGTTGAAATGAACCAATAGCGTAGTATTGATTAGGGATGATTTCAGAGAATCGAGGGCTTGTTTATCAGCAGGGAGAATTTTGAATTTTCGTTCTTTTGAAATTAAACGATAAAGTGGTGCAGCTATTGAGGAATAGTTTTTGATGTAACGGGAGAAATAGTTGTAGCAACCTAGGAGGGATTGCAATTCACGAACTGTTTTGGGGTATCGGAGGTTGACTAAGGCTTGAACCTTTTTAGGATCAGGTCGAATTCCATCACCTGAAACTAAGTGACCTAACAAGAGAATTTCGGTTTGACCGAAGTGGCACTTCTCGGGTTTAACCTTTAGGTTATATTTTCGCAGACGATCCATTACAAGTTTTGTATTGGCGATTAACTCTTCAAAAGTTGTACCAACGATGGGAATGTCATCGAAGTACCCAATACAGTTAACATATTGGAGTCCTTCTAGAACCTTGTTCATGAAGCGTTGAAAAATGAACGGAGCACCGGCAAGTCCCATGGGGAGTCGCTTGTATTGGTACTTACCATCCGGGGTGACAAATGCGGTTTTTTCTCTTTCGGAAGGAGGCAACTCTATTTGATGGTAACCTTGGGCCAAGTCAAAGAGATTGAAAAATTTTCCACCTCGAACGACTTCCAGACAGTCGTCGATTCGTGGCATTGGATGTCGAGGGATTTTGGTGAGTCGATTAAGTAATCGGTAATCGGTAACCATCCGATATGAACCATCAGATCGAGGGACGAGGAGACAAGGTGCACCTCCAAGTGCGTCCGAAGGTTCGATTAAATCATGATCAATCATATCATTGATTATTTCACGAAAGACACCACGACGATGAATGTTACAACTATATGGTTTTTGATAGGGAATTATTTGATCTTCAAGATCGATTTTCACTGGACACACTGAAGATGGAACGAAACCAAGATCGTTCTTATGTTTTGAAAAAATATCTTGATAACTTTCAAAAAGTTCAAGAAGTTCTTGTTGTTGAGATTGATTTAAATCAGGGTTAATCCTTGACTTAATTTTTTCGATGAAGGGTTGAATTTTATATTCATTGAGTTCTTTTTCACTAACTAACATGCATCGCGCAATTAGTGATTGTTCCGAAAAGTTTTTGGAATTTTCTTTTTCATTATTAGAGGGAAGGTTAATTGTTGTTAAATTTGGATGATGAATTTGAAGATTCGAGGAATTATTAATTGTTGAGGGAGTTTGATTGTTCGAATGAGTTGAGGGAACTGGATTAGAATCCAAGATATAATCAGAAGCAGCATTACCAGTAACTTTAATAGAAGTTTCAATGATGAAATCAGTTTCATCGGGGGTACAGAATCGGAAATAGAAATCAGGGTTACTTAATTCAGGAGAATTGGGAGTTTCTTTAACAGAAATATTATATTCATTTCCATCAGAGAAAATTTTCATGTAATAAACATGAAGGAAAGCATTACCAAGAAGAAAAACGGGTTCAAATTTTTCACAAATTTGGAACTTGATGATGCGGGATTCGTCCATTCCATTATGCTTGAAGATTGCATATGCAAATCCAAGGGAATCAACATACACACCAGAAGCAATACCTTTCAAACTTCTGTTTGCCTTAATGATGTGAGCCTGAAGATAATTAGCGAGACCAGCATCAATTACACAAGCGGATGCGCCAGTATCTACCAACACTTTACCTTCTTGGACTCGGGATTTATCGGGCAAGCAGAGAGTTAAGTTAACTTGAGGCATATGAGAAATTGCAGTATTTCCAACTTGAGAGATTTGCTTAATATCTTTCGATATCGCAAATCCAACATTTCCTCTAAGTCCACTTTGGATTGGTTCGGGGGGAGACGGGGGTCTATTTTCGAACGGGTTTGGGTTAGTTATAACTTGGGAAATGGGAGCGAGAGTGTTTACTTGTTGGGGAGGTAATTGAATTTGAGGGACTGGTTGATCATGCTGAATTAGGGTAGCAAGATTAGTATGAGCCGCGGGTTGAGGGTTAAATGGTTGTCGACCATAACCTTGATTTTTACCTTGATAAGGAGGTTTGATGCCTGCAGCTTCTTGAGCTTTACGGTAAGCGAGTTTCGAACAATTTTCGATCGTGTGATCGTCACCTTTGCAATAATTGCAAAATTTTGCATCTTTAGATGCCGATGAATCCTGACGCTTTTTATAATTAGGATTCGAGGGAGGGAAGGTATTGTTAGTCTTTAACAATTTAGCAACGGAACTTCTATCCTGATTACTAACAGTTTTAGTTGGAACATTTTTAGAAACTTTTTGTTTATTTTGATTATTTTTATAATCAAAATGAATTCGAGTCAAATGATTATAAATTCGAGTTTTATCATCATTTATACCTAAGGTATATATATCGTCTCTAATATATCGAGGGATATGTTGGAGAACGAGATTGAGAAAGAGGGAATCATTAGTTGGACCAAACGCTTTGGTAACTAATCTTCTCATATCAGAGAAAAATTTTTCGGGATGAAATTCGGGATTGTACCGACAATTTCTCAGCTCGAAGTCGGCACTATATTGACTCTCAGGGTCTTCAATTTTTCGAGAGGAATTTACGTACTCGTTGTAGTCAGTAATTTCTTCGAGACCAGCAGCACTTGTTTTAATTTCATGCGCCATAGACTTTTGGAGAAGTCTTAATCTTGTTTCATCGTCCACGTTTTCCTTGGACAATCGATCTTTGGTTTTAACCAACCATGAGTATTGGTCCTCTCCTGATCGGAACTCAGGGACATGAGGGTCAGTCTTCAGTTGTTTCATCAACTCGAAGAAAGTAGCAGGGGTGAGATTGTCATTCGAAGTGACTGATGGATTGATGGATGGAGGTGATGGCTCACTAATATGAGCACCAAAAGAATTTAGAATATTCTTAATTTTATTAAGCACACCAAGGGGAAGGGGAAGTGCATAAAGTTCTGGATGAGTTAAATTAAAAATTGTCTCATCATCTCTTCCAATATTTTTTAAGAAGAGTTGAATTTCGCATTCGGAGATGCTTTGGGATCGGAATTCCAAAATCCAATTTGGAATTTGTTGATTTTTTATCTCCTCTACGAGGATGTTCAGGATTTCTTCAGATGAAGCAGTTTCACCGTCGAGAAGAAGGAGATGGGTTGACACGATGTCGATTAGCTTTTTCGTAGCTAAAGATCTGAGTGGAATTGGAGCTTTCCACAGATGAAAGAGGTCGAGAACTTCATTAAATGAAAGATCTCTGAGAGATTTTTGGTGTGAATCACAGTGGACACACGAGTTGGTGGTCGCGGGTTGACCGGAGTAAAGATGGATTGAGGTGATTGAGGAACAATAGTTTCGTCCTCTGATTGTTCAGGTTGAGAAAGAGTTGGGGTGGGGCGAGGTCGAGAAGCTTTCGCAGCTTTCGCAGCGCGGGCATTAGCAACACGTGTGATTGCAGCGATTCTTCCACGTTTAGGGGGCATGATGGAGATTAAGATAACTCAAGAGGGTTCAGAAAAAGAAGAGAAAACAAAAGCACAATGAATCTGAGATTCGGTAAAGAAAAGGGAAGCACTTAGAAATTCAGGGATCCTGCCTGGGTCGCCAATTTGTGGGGTTAGATTTGAGATGAGGGATTTGATGATCACTTTTAGATCGATGGATGGATTTGAGTTAGAACTCGGAAAAGTCTCTAGACTTCGGAAGGAGGATTTTCGGTCCCACAAAACCGATAACAGATTCGTTTAGGATCACTGAATAACAAGAGCACTCAAATCTAGACTCACTTAAGTGTCTTCGTTTTCACTATTTAACTTAATTCTCTTGAATTGATTGAGAAGATGGAAAATTAGAATTTCTGAATAATTCAAATTGATGGATGGAATTGAGATTAACACGTTTTTTTGTGAAGGAAATTTTAATCGAGTAAGTTAACTATTTGAATGTTAAAACATTACTGAAGAGAAGAGGAAAATCTTGTTCTAATAGGAACAGAGAACAAAGAAAAGGGTTTCACAATTAAAGAAAAGGGAAAACAAATTAATCTCTTAATGATGAGATAAAGGTAAAGGTTATAATGTAACTCTTATGTCTCGACAAAGTGAGACTTATGGTTGAGTTTTGGTTAAAGATAAAAATGAACTTGAAGATAAGCTTGTAGGCTTATTAGTACTAAAGATGAAAACTAAAAGAAAGGAAAAGAAAGAGGAAAAGAAAGGAAAAACGGGTCTCTTTCTTTGGTGACCAAATTTTAGTAACTTAAGTTTAAGAGATTTGGGTTTTACAATTAAGAAATTTGTAAATTGTGACAATTAAGAATCGGAATCAAAATTATATCTTTAGATATAAAATCAATTTTAGTTAAATCTGATTGGTTTTAACAATCAGGATTCGTTAATTATAATTAATTCAATTGTTAATTAGGGATACTAATTAAGCGTATTGGTTAATTATAACAATGAGGAAATTACAATTATAGTTGTGGGAGGAATTAAACAAAGTTAAATTGTTGAATAGAAAAGAAAAGCTTTAAAGCAATCATAGGCACAATTAACTAATTGTTAGAAATTAAACAAAATTTAAACAGAAAATTAAAGAAAATTAGAAAATGTTTTTAAATGAATCAAGTTTCCAAATCATGATAGTGATGAAGATGAAAGTTTGAGGATTTCATGATTTTCTACCCTTCAATAATAATAATAATAATAATGCTGAAGTAAATTGTCAGGAGAGTTTTTCAAATTCTAAATATAAGAATTTTTATTTTCTTTCATCAAAATAAAAGTCTTCTCAATAATCCACTTCCACTCTCATTTACACCTCATTATCTCTCTTTCTCTCTCTGACTGAATCTGACAAAAAGATTCTGATAATTACACCTTACATGTCTTTTAAGTTGCTTCGTAAAGTTACTTTCATGAGTCAACAATTAAAGGAACTTACATTTAGCATGGATTTGAAGCATTCTTCAGCTCTTGAAGTATCCATTTTATAATTTGTCAAGTATTTTTTATAGTCCTTCAGGCAGAATAGAGCATCTTCTGTATAATAGTTATCGTTATTAAAGAGAAAAATTTAAAAGGTTATAAAAACATTAGCTTCTGGTACGTTTGTATTGATATTTCAAAAATGATATAATTTTTTCTTCTACAGTTAAGATTTTTCAATCATACGAGTAAATTCATACGAAATTTACTACCATGAAGCTGATGAAAAGATTGTGACAGAAAGATAATTAGTTTAGTACTCAATTGATGGACATTAGCCTCTGAAGTAGCTCTGGTTTACTAGTCTCAAGATCATCTGGGACTATTATCGTTACGTAACCCCAAATGATAAACTCGAGAAATCATATAGCTTACGGTTACAAGACTTTGAGAAGTTCAAAGTCACAGAGTCATCACGAATTTGAGACTCTACTTCCCCAGCCAGTTAACTTTTCGTTGTCTCGTTAATCTTTGCTTAGAAATCGCTAAACTTTCATTAGAATTGAATTGTTGGACTCTGAAGTATTAACAATAACGATAAATAGAATGATGATCACAACTAGAATAACCTTTTTAATAATTATCTCATAATATTTCGTAGTCTCCGTTCATTTTCTAGCCTCATAGGCTCATCTACTTTATGGATGTATTTCTATAAATTAATAATATTTTGAGCATTTCTAATGAAAAGAAAATGAACTAAAAGTAACTGTTTCTGTCACAAAGTTTTCCTCGTCACTTCTTGATGATAACAATAATAATAAAATTGAATATTACTTGTAAACCCAAATGGATGATTCTTTTTATGTTATCACAAAATATATATATTGTTATTATAACAAGTTTCAATTGTTATTCTAGATAATAATAATGATACAGAACTTTTTTCAGTTTGTTGAGTTATATTTTTTTTTCTTCCTGGTGACAAAATTGAAAATATTTTAGCCATTTTGATCATTGTGAAGCTAAAAATTTGACGATGTATTTATGTTAAAAATTTGAACCAAATTATTACAAGTAGAATGTTTTCTCTCTTACTATCTATCTATCTATCTCTTAGTCCAGTTACCAGAGTGACCAGAATATCAAAAGTATCACATGGATACTCAAGTGGGTAGGTAAATATTATTTGATAATCTAAATGAATCCATCAATAAAATCGTAAAGTGGAAAGTAGATAAATCTACTGTCATTTAATTAAAATGAAAGTAAGGATAAGATTAAGATGAGGATGAGGATGAGAATCTTAATGCTGGTGATTGGTGAATGAAGTTGTATCAATTTAAATCTGATGCTGACCAATGCTTGCAATGGATATAATAATATTTATTTCCAAAGTCTTAATTTTAATCAATATCAGATAATGATAGGAATTCATGATGAGGGAGAGAGAGAGAAAAAAGTATAGTAAAAGATAAAAATAGTCTCCAGAATTATATTATCTTTACATGATGATTATTAGTTGTGATCAGTATTATTATTAATACTTCTGATAGTTAAGCTGATTTGGTTGATAAAATCGGATTAAGATTATGTTTGGTGAGTAATAATTATTGCGTATAATATATTATATGAGACATTGACTGATGATAAAGGCAGAATGATACAGAATCAGCGATAAATTATCTTGATTATCATTATGATTATCATGGTGATGGATTTTATTTCACCAAGAGAAGAAGAAAAAAAATTCAGTCAATTCAGATAATGACAATGATGATAATGTCTAATACTAAATGCAAATACTTTTTTTTCCTTCCCGACGATGATGTTGATTAATATGCTTTTAATATGGGTGATAATTGAAATGATTTCATGTCAGCCTAATTTCCTGAAAATTTATACATAACTAAATCAGTACTATGTATTTATCATGTTGCCCTTGTAGATTTAGTATTATTATCATATCATAACTTAATCATCTTTGAGCTGAACCATTGACAGAAACTTTTTCTCATCCTATTTCCTAATAGGCAAATACATTACATGAGTATCAGGGTTTCTCCTGTTTACTTACATTCAGTAATATCTTTTTTTTTCATTCTATTCACTTTTTTGCTAAGTTCTCTCACTTTTTCTCACTTCTTCTCACTCAGTCTCTTTATCTCTTTCGTCTAAATACTTGGTTCATTTGCTACAATCATAACTGAACATGAAACTTTTTCACCCGAATAATATTCATGGGTTATTCAGGGTTACATGGACATATATCACCACTCACATCTTAACCTCAACTAGCCTTCAGTTTATGCTTGGCTCATGGTAATCATTACATGTTTATGATTATTATCATCATGAAGATGAATTCAAGTCCAAAAATAACTTGAATTTTGACTCACATTTTATGCTTGTCACAATAAATTTAACAAAGTAAATAGCCTTTACTTTGTACGAGTAGATTTTGCTAGCTTAAATCTTTTTACATTTGTTTACGAGTTTAACATTTTACTTGTGATAGATAAGCTTCTCATGGTTTCTTGTTTTTTAGCATGAAAAAAAACATGACAATATAAAATTAAAAGTTGAGATTTCTTTGAGATATCTAGTCTTTTTGTCAAATTTTTAGCTTTAGGAAAGAGGTGTCTTTGGCAATTTGTACTCACTGTTTGAATCCATACATAAGAAAAATAATTGCAGATAAGTTTTCAGGAAATCGGGTAAGTCTTGGTGATTCTTGGTTGTTTGGCTCATTTTCTCAAAAAATTGGACCCATTCCCCGAATTCGACAAACGTATCCTGTTGGAAAAGGTAAAATAAAGTTAACCAGAGGACTTTTTTCTCATTCCTTCTCTCTCTCTCTCTTTCAGGTGGAGAGATTTATGTATCAGTATGAAACTATACACCAACATACTTCATTAAAATCAGCAAACGATGTTAACTGGGTCCACCATTTCTCGAAAATTGCCTTCCAACGATCAAAAACTTCTTTTTCAACTTTGCCTCTACGTTGAAGTTTAGTATACTTTTCCGCTAATTGATTAAAATCTTCCCATGATAATATACCGTCTCCATTATCATCTAAATGTTGATGACAATTTAGAGAGAGAAAATGTATCATCAATATGTATATGTATATCATTGAATGTTTTCCGTAAAGTCTTTTTAATTATCTGTGATGCATCAAGCTTGTCACAATAGCTACTAGTACGGACTTTTAGATCACAGAATAATCAGCATAGATAATTATGAGTTAGCTTACCCCAGAAGTTTAGAAAGGTAAAAAGATGCTTGTGCCTGAAAAATTCTTGATCCATTTCCCAATCAGCTGACGGCCGTTATCAAAAAGTTCAATATGCAGTAGATATTACGATAGAGCTAAAACAGCAAGTTAGAGCAATGTAGACTTGAGCTACAAAGTTTACCATAAAGAAGATTACCTTGAAGATAAGATGAATAAAAGGAAAGATCTTTCTGCAACGATAGAAGAAAATAGGAGTTAAGATTAGCAAAAAAGTACAAAAGGTAAATAGTGAGGTTTTACTTGTAAGTGATTCTCAAAAATTACTATTAAAGGATAGAATAATGAAAGATATTGTACCTTGATTTAGGTAATGTAAAGAGCAATAGATACTCATCATATAAGGTCAACAAAGAGATATTGATATCCAATAAAAGAAAAGTCAGATGAGCGGCCAAAATAAAATGCAACTGATGGAAAAGTTAAGTTCCTGTCAAATCTTGGATTCCGTATTGAGACATTAAAGGTGAATGTTAAAAATAGTTAGAAACAGCCTTTTCAATTCTTGCATTTCTTCAACTTTTCAATACATTTTCGAAGTGATGACCTTCGTTGAATTTCAGAAGTCCGAGCGCTCTGAAACTCAAAACCACTCTTTTTACTGTGACCTCGTCAATGCTATCGACTGCTTGATTAATCGTTATATTAATTATATTATAGATATATTATATTATATATTAGGGTGTAAACGTGGATATCTGTTTATGATCCAGAGACCAGAACTGAGTCGATGGAATGGGTGAAAGATCGTAAAGAATTATCGAAGCGGCCAACTTCCGATAGGCGTGACCCAAAGGTGATGGCCTCAGTTTTCAGGGATTCAACTGGAGTCATCAAGATTTTTTGGACTGGTCAAGGTGAAACTGTGATGGTTACCGAGAACAACTAAAAGAGATCGGTGAATTTATAAAAACCCATCCGTCTTGTAGCTCGAGGCGAAGGCCATTATTTTTACAAGACAATGCGAGACCTCATAAGGCTCAACAAACTATGAATTTATTAGATCCAGTTCCCCACCCACTCTATTCTCCTGACCTTGTCTCAAGTGACTTCTACCTATTTTCAAATTTGAAAAGATTTACACGTGGAAAGCGGGTTTCTTCTATAGAAGCTCTCAAGGCCGAGGTTTTGGCTTTTTCAATGCAAAGCCGCCATCTTGGTAGAGAGAGGGTATTGTGAAACTTGCTTCTCATTATCGGAGATGAATTGCCGCCAAAGGCGATTACTTTCAATAAAAATTTTCTAACTTTTTTTAAACATGGTTAAGATACATGTATCTACTTATCGACTTTCATACGACGACCTTAAAATGACCTTTGAACGCTACCTTCTTTAATTGACCTCAATGACCTTGAAAATCGTAGGGTAAAGCGCTACAATTGCGTTCAGTCCTCTCGGCAACTCTGACATTCATATGACTTTTAGTTCTGGGGATATTCAGTGTAATAGCCGTAGTGGATAAAAAACGTCCTGTATTACTCTTCATCCACAGCTTTAATATCTCTGGTTTAGCTTCCTGAGTTGGTAATGATGCTTCTCGATTGTTTAAACCCTTAGAACTTGATCGTGACTACGTTTTTGATTTCGGTATGAAAATCGCTTTAACACTCGGAGGTGAAATGGGTAAAGTCAACGATTTTTACGAGATGCTAAGCCGTTCTTGTTATCTTCGCATTTTTTTGTGTAACAATAATAACCATAAATAATTCATTGAGACTTTTTTGATTAAAGGGAATGTAATTTTATTTTATTTCCATTTTAATTTAGAATGTCGTTCTAGCCCTTCACGATAATAGTCTTTCTTTGCTTTTTCTATGTGCTTTTCAGGTTCTATGGCAAAATCAGCAGAATGAGCTCTTCGTCTGATTAGCCGACCACTTTTCCTCTCAGTTATATAAAACCCTGGCGTCTTCCTGGTTTTCTACTTCTTTTACATCCATAACCTTCAAGATTTTCTTCTGTTTTTCTCACATGATAAGAAATTTCAAAGCACGAAGTGTCATTGTATGATCTTTTTGGAAGAACATGCTTTTACAAACTACAGAAGTTTTCAAACTCTTTTTTCAATAAACGCAAACAAAATGAATTGGATTCGCTTCAATGTCTAATATTAGCGCTTCATGATTTCGTCGCTATTTATCATACAATCGCCTAACCAGTTCAAGTGGTCGCATAAGATGCTGAGGTGGAGCGTCTTCAAGATATACATCTTCCTCGCTGCCACTACCAAAAACCAAGCTCCACAAATATTCCCGTATGCCTGTTTCGGGGTCTGTTGCCCATGCTTTGAGCTCCATTGCATGCCCTAGAAATAAAGTGCTTGGCCTGGTTCTCATTCTGCTATATTTTTATTTTATATTTTATTACAAGTGAAAAATACAGTTTCTGAGCTGAAGACTTGAAAATCAGCTTAGTCTTGACACCTGAACGAGATATTCCGCAGACCGAGAACTAAACCAGATAACCTTGGAGGCTGAACAAGATGATCCAAAGAACAAGAACTAAATTGCATTCAAGTGCCTAATCAGTTCAAGCTTTACAAGATGATCTAAATGATAATGAAATATGATTCCAAGATGAATTCAATGGTTATAATTGAAGTATAATAGTTACTGATAATTATTATCTTTTCTCTTTATATACTACTTTTTGCATAAAAGCTGAATAAGTTCATCTGCTCCATCTCTTCCACAATTCAGTGATTTTCACAATAGACCAACTCTTTTAGAGCCCGAGGCCTTTTTGCCTAGAGCCAGAAAGCACTTGTATCAAAGTCCGGGTTAGGCTCATTTTTAATTTAAAATATCTGAACTGTTCAATTATTAATTTAAAGAAAAATTGACGTTCTAACGTGATTTATGCAAACCCGCTTTTATTTCATTAATTATTATTATTAGATGGCTCTCCGTTATTCGAACTGATATTGACATCAAAACTTGATAGATGGGAGAATTGTTTGTTCTTCTTTGTTAAAATCTTCAAATTACCTCTAGATAATAATTAAATAATTTTAATAGTGAAATGACTTCAATAACCTTGAAACTTTTTATAAGAAGTCCATCAGTTGTACAGGGCTATTCAACTTCATTTTACGCAGGTTTTTATTTATAAGCCAAGAATAAATGAGTTGAAAAGATCAAAACTCGTACAGATACATATCGAGACTGAAGGACTTCGTATAAAAAGTTTCAAGGTCATTGAGGTCGTTTCACGAGCAACCTATCTAGAGGTCATTGGAAGGTTATTTTGTAAGAAGAACAAAAAATTATTCCATGGTCCAAGTTTGAATTTATAATTCAAAATCATTGACGGTGATCCAAGATTTATGTCAATTTGCAAAACCGCTGCTTTTTTCATTCTAGTTGACGGCTCTTCTTTAATTGAACTGATATTGACACCAAACTATCAGGATCATATATGTCATATTTGTCATACTTTATAGAACCCTTCAGTGTAATTTATGTTGATTAATCTTTTATATTTTCTGTTTTGATGTAACAATTATTTTGTTTTAAGCAAAATTAATCAATTGATTATTCTATAAAGAATGCTCTTAATTGATCCAAGGAACATCAACATCATAACCTTGATTCATGAACTTGAACTGAAATTAAATGAATTGAAAACTAATCCTTTTCCGAAAATAACAAGCAAATAAATGGAAGTCTATGAAGATTTAATACAAATTATTGGTTATCATCTTGCTACCTACCTTTAACACTACGTAAATTTAAGAATCAAACCGCAATCGAATCGTGAATATTAATCAATTTCACCGATTTCTTGCCTTTATTTATCATATTTATAATCTCAGTTATCCTGCTGAAACTCAAATACAATTGCGAAAGGGGAATCGATCATTTCAATTTAAAGTTCAAACTTTAATTTTCAACCAATAGAATTAATGATTAAGGTTTAACAGTACCTTCTGGATAAACAATTCCTCGACCATATGATGGGCACATGAGTCTAACGTAGAAATTGTCATAAATTTCCGCTCCTTCAATATCGTTTAGGTAACCTTTTACGGCCTCGAACCCTTTGTCCTGGTTAGGAAAACGACAACCAGTGAGCTCATTACTTTTTATTATTAGCTGACCGATGGACACATGTTCTTTCTTCCATGCAGAATTCCATTCCAGAGTAGACTAGAGTTACTAATCGAATAGCATCATCTAAACAAACAACACAATCGAAAAAAGAATAAGAAATTCACATATCAAATAAGAAGAAACAAGATAAAAAACTAACCCATTGAAACGAATGTTTCGTAATTCACCTTATTAATTAACAATATTAACTAATCACAATTTAATATAAGATAAAGACTTAAACTTTAATGTTGACTAAGGGAAGAGGGAATGGGGACTGAAATAATACATTGTATTACAATATGTAACGAAGGTGATCATGATACTCTGATCATGATCACCTTCAGAAGTTTCTAGAGCATTATTATAATCAATAATTAAACTATTATCGTTTCATTATATGAATGACCATGAGTATCATGGTCATCCCCATGGTTACATAAAAGAAACATAGACAATGATCAATAATTTCGTTACATTACCCCCGTCTTTTAGACGAAAGGTCTCTCTTTCGTAACATTAATCGATAAAACAATAAACACAATATTTGCATAAAACAAGCACATCGAATGCGACAAAAACACCAATACAGTATTATTCGTACCGTATATTAACCTTTACATATTCAGAGTTACAATAAACTTGATTATGTTCAGAAATTATAAACTTAAGAACATCTTCAGGTACATCAAATTTAAATACATTAAATAAAGCAGCAAATTCTAATAAACATTCATGAGCTTTTTCCAAAATTTTCGCCTGATCGTCGAATTTACCATTGATTTCATCCTCAATTCCCGAACAGCGAAAATAAGCGTATTTCATCAGTAATTGATTACCTTTGATCTTACCCTCGATCTTTTCCTTGACCGATTTAGGAGCAGGTCGTTTCAATGTTTTCTTCAGCGTCAATATTTGATCAATGGCAATACCTACCACCTTAACGAAGTTATCGTTTTTATCCTTTAACACCTCAGAAGTCATCTTTTGATTACTGTTGAAAAGCAGAAAACAGCTAATACAGTTAGATTAATAACAAAAAAATAACATATAATATGGTAACATTAACATTAATAATGTTA